TTTCGTGGCTCTTACTTCATTCTGCTTGTCCCAAAAAGGGATCGGATTTGAGACTGCACTTGAAAATGTGCTCTTGTTTACCTCACGTTAAAGTCCAATACACTTGAGCTCTCAATCCGTTCAGACCTTTAGCTGAGTATAACTTGAAGAATTTGTACGTTGTGATTTTTAATTTTACTGCATAGCACATAACTTCGGTAACGAATCATACAATAAATTGATGTTTATCAAAATATGTGTGAGTGAGTTCTGAAAAATCCGTTACAGATACTCATGCTCATGCGTAAAACTGCATCATGGGGGTAGGAAATCAGTCGTAAAATTGGTTGCTACAATTTATCTAATGCTGCTGCTCATTTGAAATTCATGAGCAATGTGAATGAAATGGAAATAGTGGGATAAATCACCATTTATTGCTTGTGGATCCTGTAGTAAATCCCTCATCATTTACAGCTCACGGAAGTTACCGGAGCGCCGACTACTTCCAAGATCTTCGCGTTTGATTCTGGTTTAACTGCTCGTTCTATTCCTCCCCCCCCCCCAATGGATGGGCGGAGAATTAGGGTAAAATCTTAAAAAGCAAGCAGAAAATTAGGATGAATTTGACGCGGGATTGCTTCACCTTTTTAGTAACCATCCCCTAAGCTAAAAAGTTTTGGACATGCTCAAATAATCCCAGAGATTTTGCGTTATGTCGTATCACCCTTGATTAAACTCATATGTCCACACTTTTTTATAAAGAGTTATGCGGTACCACCAGACAATCGCCATCCTCACATTCAATGAACAGCAGTGATTCTTTTGCGGAAGCTCGTTTTCAAAGATTTGACGATAAAACAAATTTAATACTTTTAGAGAGTATTTTAGCATCGTGTTCGATTATTTGCAGCTCGTCCTACACCCCCACGACTCTGTCAATCTTTTAAAAAAACGAATACTTGAGTGTTCAAAATTGGCGAGATACATCTCTGAAAAATCAGCATCTCAACTTCAGAAGCTGTTTAAATCATCAGAAAAATTGCAATCTTCTCTTCAATCGTTTTATCTTCTACATTTCTGCATTTTGCGGAAAAATAGAGGAAATAAGCACAAAAAATCTATAAATGTCCTGAGTTAGTTGATGCCTCGACTTGCTACATTTTGTAAAGGCGGTTTCTTCTTTCTAATTCATGAGAGCAGTTTTTATTTAATTTACACTACCAGCGAGATGTATAATTTATTTGAAGCATATAATGGCTGGGAAAAATGCTGGAGAGCTAGATCATGTTCTTGAGAATTCACTTCTACAGCTGGAGCTGCTGAAGTTTTTCTAGCGTCTTACTGAAGAAATTCCTGTGTTCGTAATTGCCGTTCACTTACTTTTGAGACTAGAATCAAAATTCCTACGCATGTCTAAGGTTTGAAAGGGCATTTGCGATTTTCTGCAGAATTAGACTCTCACTCCCTTAGTTTACCAGTTGTGTTTGATAAAAGACCTTTTCCAACTTTAACCTACGGCGTAGTTAACATTTATTTTTCTTTGTATCTGCTTTTCCTGCACTTCCGCACATGCTCATAATTTTCCCATAACAAACGACTTCAAGAGGTTTGAACTTTTGCGACTGCACTTTGTCAATGATTTTAATCTATTCATCTCGAACGGGAAAAGTGCGTTTAGTGTTTAACGACAAGCTCTATTCCCACATGCTATAGCTCAACCCATGATCTAATCAAACCTACTGTTCTAGTTATCTGGTTTTCTACATCAAATAAGTGATTCTTTCATTTCTTGCATCTGAGAGAAGTCTTGAGAGTTTTTTATGAGTTCGCCGGAGGATATTCATGTACCCTGCGATTAGCAAATGGGAATGGAAAGGAGTGAAAGATTTTTGTATTTCATGGAAATGCAATGTTGAATTTCATGCTATCGAAAAGGGTTTAATCTATCTCCCCTCCGTTTTCTATCGTAGGCCGAGTATAAGATCAAGCTCTCTCGTGATTCTTCACTAGGGAGCGAGAGATCCATGTTCATTTTCAATTTGTTATATAGATAAATTTTAAAGAATGACGTCTAGTTTGACGTACTGTCATCCAAGGTTCCCATCTGCAGGCACTAAATAAACTGTTGTAGCTTCCGATCCATCCACATACACATGAAGGGGACTTTACCGTCATTCATTACTGCTTAGTATTATATTTGATTCCACAGTTCATCATATTTTCTTCTGCTCAATATCTAATTGTCCACTCAAGTGCACATTCACTTTTTCGACTCTTCATGTCCGAACAATTATTAGATAATCCAGCTCAAAAGTCAAATTTTTCTTGTATTTTTGCACTTTATTCAACCGGTTTTTCCTTCTAAACGTTGGTTCTCTTGGACTCATTATGCCCTTACAAAAGATTTCTTTTTCGTTTTCTTCAGTATATATGTATATATATCGTCTAATCTTGGACCTGAGAAATAAATGCTGGTTGCGCAAACCCATTTTATCCGTCATAAATCAAAAATCTCAGTGAGATTCTCAGCGGCACCCTTTCATTTTCTTAAACAAGCCGTTGTCAATATCTTTCATGTTTGCTTCTTCGAAAAACGCCGCATTTCAGGAATATATCTATACGACTTTTCCTGATTTCTGGAACTACTCAGAATTGTTACTAATCTGTTGGAAATTGAGTCTTACAACTTCTCATAGCTCTTCGATTTCTAAATGTGGCGTACTCTTTGCTGGCACTATGTAGTTGACGTCTGCTACAAATATGCATAAATTGTTTGATTTTTATAAGAGAAAAATTTTGTAGGAACGCGGTCTTTGTCAGATTGTCGCAGCGTGGGCTAGAACTTTCAATAAAGCAGAGCTATTAATTTCCATGAAAAGCTAACTCATGTGAAACGAATTCAAGTTTTTTCTTTTGAAATTGCAGAATTTCAAGGTTTCAATGAATTACAAGTAAAAATAAAGCCGTTCTCAAACTGCATTGAACCCATCAGCCAAGATTGTTTATAAATTGTTGCTAGAAATTGAGCCATTAGGCACATTGAAAAAATATATTAATTAAAGGCGAATTGAGATTTGGAGCCTCGGAGATTTACACAAGTGGAAGCAGAGCTGATGGAAAAACTTGTCGGTATTTAATAACCAGGAGTCTCCTTTTCCCAGAACTTTGCATATTGGGGTATTTACTTGTGCACACGAATTGCACACTCATTTGTTGTCAAGATATACTCATTTGTTGTCAAGGTGAAATTTTCCATCGGACCTTCACAAGAAAACCCTATCATGCAAAATGAGTACGATTTTAGTGTTCAAAATGTTGATATTCTCCTAGATTGAGTTTCACCCGAATCTTAACAATCTTCAAATTTTTGACGTTCCTTCATAGCTTGCTTCCGGTAAATTTACAAGGAAATGGTCAGAAATCGAAGTGGCCAGTTCAAGCACACAAAATGTTGGCTTCAAATCTGTCTTCCTTATCCGGCAGACCACCTTTGTGGATGGAATTATAAGCCGTTAAAGGCCATTATTTTGGTAAAGAATTGTGTGTGGAAAGGGCAAACTTGGCCGTACAGGGCCGTTCCTGGCTTAGTGCTAGACTAAAACATGCAGCTACGTCACTTCATATAGCCAGTACCTAAGGTGAGCGAAAGGGGCAATAATGTACCCATCTCGCAATTTTTGTGTATGACTTTTCGCACTAATGCTGGCCATAACTTCGCTTACAAAGGCTCTCTGCAAATATGGAAGACAGATTTGAAATCAGCTTTCTAAGTTGCTTCGAATGGTGTGCAGCTTGTTTGGATTGGTCACTTCGACTTCTGACCATTCCCTTGTTAGGTAATCCTTGCATGCAATGGCAAAATGTGGACGAACAATGGTCGCATTTGTAGCCATAGCATACACACCAAAGTTTGCATGGACTACATTTGGAAAGAGGAAAGAAAGGCTGCAAAGCTTGATTTCAACCTAGTACGTGCTTTTCAAGAAGTAGACCATAGGACTATTATATTTCGTTCTAATACTAACTCATTGATGTTGTTTGGGTCTTTATTGAATAATCGCTTGAACTGCAAATATAGTGCATGCTTCATTTTTTATTGTAATCAATTACTTAGATTCTTAATTACGAACCTATACTTCTCGATTTCGATTTCCTTAACTATAAAAGTGATTCTTGCCAATATTCGAACATTCAATATTGCTTCCTCTGCCAAATTTCGTAGAAGTTTTAATCGCAAGCAAATATTTTCCGACTACATTGCCAGTTTTCAGAATGAGCAACAACACTTGCGGGTCAGTGCTGTCCGTTGCCTCATATATCTATCCGTTCATCTTGCATTTGATCTCTATTCTCCTCATGTCACGGGCACTTCAAATTCAATACCGATTAAGGGAGATGTTTCATCCGTTCTTCAGGCAAGTTTTTCTTTTAGAAGCACTCAAACGAAACAGCTTTTGTTACATCAACTGAGAATAGGTATAGAATATTCAGGCCTTTTCATTTTATCTGCGTTTTGGGGAGTGCAGGCAAGGGAGACCACATTGTAGAAATGTAAAAAAAATTATTCAAGACATTGTTTTATACGAATATTCGACATGGCTGATGAAAAGCAAACAAGAGCAGAATAATCCCAAAATGTTCCGTTTTACCTGAGAATGTAAGCCAAAATCTATAATGTTTTTACCATCAATAAAAGTGCATAATTTGTCTAAACTCTCATACATTTTGATACATATAGGTATTTGTATTGCTGTACATACTGACAATTTTAATGCAGATGAATAATTGGTTATCTATTGAGAACGGTTTAAAAAGACCGAAAGTTTTCCTATGAAATTGATTTTTCCGCAATAAAAGTAAACAGGAGCAGGAACCTTCCAAAAATGATTTGTTAACTCGTTTAGGCCAAAACTTTGAACCTTTCATTGCTGCATAACTAGTATAATCTCTTCTTATGGGTGTTTGGAGGAAAAAACTTTACAGCTGTGGTCTTTAAGTCAATCAACTCAAGCTTTTTACAGCCTTCTACTATTTCTGGTGCTTCTCAGCTATAATTTGTGCAGTACTTTTGGAATCATCGCCGGTCTGACAGTGATGTTCGGCATGCCGCTGCAAGTTTTCCTCGTATTCGACAGACTCTACTACTTCTGTTATTATTACGTCAACGGTCTCATGCTCTGCTTGGTCGTTGAGCGACTGCTGGCAACAGCGATGATGAAGACCTACGAGTACAATCGCGAATGGTGGAGGGTCATTCTAACGCAGCCACTAGCAGTGAGTACCTACGATTTGCGTGTTCTATAATTATAAACGTCCATGCATAAACGTGGTCCGTCAACTTCTCAGACAACTGACCGGAACTTCCGCAGAACGTTTGCAAAATTCCTGTGGAAGTTTCCGTTTTGTACCAGTCTAACTTGAAAATCCTGTGGAAGTTCCCACTTTCAACGTTGTCACTTTTCTAACAGTAAAAGTCCTGCGGAACCGCTACAATTTTGCCTTGCGGAAGTTCCGGCGAAATGTCTGAGTTTAGATTAAGAACAGATCATTCAGAAGTTTTCGTTTTTTTCTGTGTATTGCAACTTTCCTAAAACTTCTGTCTTGAAGTTTCTCAGCGTGTAGAAGAGAAGACTGTGTGTTATACATACGGCTTAGCTTCATAAGTAATATTCCAAATTTTTAACACTCAAAACATCTATTTTTTGAAGCCACTGAAATTGAACTGTATTCAAAAGAACGAGGTACAAAAAATCACTTGTGATTGACTGATTGAAAACAATGACCTGTAAGCCACTCTGTCGAGAAAATTATTTTTTTTACTCAAAATCTTCAATTAAGACTTCCGCAAGAGGCCATTGCCCGAAATTGAAAGAAACGACCCATAAATTCTGAAAAAGCTGCAGAGGAAGATTTAGCCTTGCTCTGTCTGAGTTTGTTTGCTGGATAAAGATTAGAAGCGGCTGCGGAAACCTAGCAAAGATAGAATTGAAATTCTGCAGATTTGCGCAGCTGTTACCGCTTTTCTGAGTTATAATCTCACATTTAGCCATAAGGAAGGAAAAGCAGTGCTGCATCGAATGTTATAGGTCTTTTTATCAGCACCCAAGTTTGGCGGAAAAAAAACTAAAACTGTTTTCATCGATTTAAAATTTGAAATTCCTGATTTTTGAAGCTAATAAGAAATGCTGAACGCACAATGCGTATGCATTGTTTCCAGGTTGGCTTGGCTGTTGGAAATTTCTTTATGCCAGACGTGCTCTCCCAATCACTAACAATAATTTCTCTATACATAGTCAACATCTCGGTAAATTTTCTTAGTATTTCAAACTCTCACAAGAATGTAGACATTTTATTACAGTGTCTTATAATTCTTTTGTTCATCAACTATCGCCTGACGTCTGCACTAACCGGAAGCGGTGCTGCTCTATCAACACGATATCAAATCACAGAAAATATCAGGACTATAAGGTATGTACAAATCATTTGTTCTATAACTAAAAGTCCTCGATTTAGAGTCCTTTTACCTACTGTAGTGTTTGATGCGCTGGTAACTGTCTCTGATTTATGCGGTGCTATGCTTTTTGACATGAAGCATGTATTTGATATACAACGTTGCAGTGATGATAAGTATGTGCAGATGTTCTACGTTATTACTACGGTAAGTTTATTTTTCCTGAAGATAAGAGTGATCAATGGTAAAAAACAAAGCCAACAGGGTGGCAGATGACATGCTGGCGGTAATTTCGAGAGCAAAAAGCAGAGAGCATCGTTATCATACGCTCACATGCATATTGTACGGACCACCCAAACGTCCCAGTCACACTACAAATTTTTACAGTAGTTTTCAACAATATTGCTTAAGCCGCTAGAAGATGTGTAACCAGTTCCCTCTTACAGATGCTGCATGTGCGTTGTGTGGCGCTTTGGTTCCGCCAAAAGCAGTAACATTTCTGCGCAGAACTGTATAAGCCACTGAAAAGTGCAAACTCTCCGTCAACCTCTAAGGCCCTGGGCACATACCTCACGCGATTCAGTCGCCATGCGATCTGGCAATTTGCCAGATGTCTTCAAATTCAATACCTGCACACACCATACATAGTATGTGTAACTTTCAAGGATTGACGAAATGCCCTTTTCTTCCATACATTCCAAAACCCCTTACGATGAGTTATGAACAAATGGAGTATTGTCAAATCGCGTCGCGACTGAAATAGCGTGAGATATGCCTACGGCCGAGAACTTCATGCAAGAACGTGGAAACTTCGCTAGTAATCAAATTCCACGTTAATGTTAGCCGAAAACAAACATATCGAGTCTTCTTGAGACAATTTTTCTAGGAACGCTGGAAATTTGATAATGCATGTTTGAAGCACCTTGTCCTTCCAGACGACGATCACAATTACGGAAAAGCATCCGTGAACTGCAAAATCGGTCTGACGAAACTGTATGTGAAAAACTTTGAATCTATTAGGTTGGCCAGAAAGTTCTTGCGTAATTCAAACAAAATTCAATAACTTTTCAATAATTCAATGACTAAACCTAAATTCACAATCTTGTTCTCCAAAAATATCAGAAGGTCTGCGCTCCATGATGGATGTTTAAGCGTAAGATTTCATGAGCTAGCCCCCGAGAACGAAGCTCTCAAATATGGGACTTCAAAATTTGCAATTTTGAGTTTGGTGCGAGAAATTCGCAGAGTGCAGCTAGCTAGCCGAAAAAATCTGTAAAAATTACTTACACTGCAGAAGTCCACAAGTTACTTTGGAAGGCTTTGATCTTGCACGGTGAAGCAAAAACAAAAAATTCGTGAAATACTCAATTTGGCGGAAAAAATCCACTCATTACCGCAGTTTTTCGGCAAAAACAATTTTTTACACTCCAAAAAACGTCGCAAGGTATTAAATGGGAAATATGTCTTATATCTGGTTGCAAACTGTGTTTTTGTGGAAAAATTACATCAATAAGGGGATTTATCCTGTAAAATGACAAATTCCATAAATTTTTTGTTCTCGCATTTTCATGCGAGATTAAAGCCTGCTAAAATAAGTTATGGACTTCTGCAGTGTAAGTAATTTTTGCAGATTTTTTTCGGCTAGCTAGCAGCACTCTGCGATTTTCTGGCACCAAACTCAAAATTGCAAATTTTGAAGTGCCATATTTGAGAGCTTCGTTCTCGGGGGCTAGCTCATGAAATCTTGTGCTTAAGCATCCATCATGGAGTGCAGGCCTTCTGATATTTTTAGAGAACAAGATTGTGAATTTAGTCATTGAAAAGTTATTGAATTTTGTTTGAATTACGCAAGAACTTTTTAGCCAACCTAATATATTTTTTAAGGAAACATTCAAACTTCACCTGTAAGCAAGAAAAAAAAACTAAATTTCATCTATGGAAAAAGGTTCTTAGGGCTTGTTGGGCACGTCAAAAACCCGTTTGGAAAGGGAAATTTTAAACTTTCAGCATTATCCCAAAGCATTGAGGAATATTCATCTCATTAGGCAGAAATAATGAACGTTTTCTAGGCATTGTTTTACGAGAATTTTTTCCATCCAATTTTCTCCTTCGGGAAAGACTTGCCACAAAGTGGAAAGCTCTTTCCATGCTCTATCTGATGATGGTTGAGAAGGGCATCTAGTCTCAAATTTAAAGAGCTCAAACAACCGCACTCAAAACCAGAATCATTATATTTACTTTTCCGGATAGGCGCAAATAAAACCATTTGAAAATTTAGCTGCTGTATGTAGAAGAAATTGTCTACATTGTGCGCACCTTACTATTCTCTTAGATGTTATTTAGAATGAGATATCGGCGCCTCAATATGTGCAATCGTTATGGTCATTAAGCTTTGCCCATTTCTCTAAGCGTGAGGGTAGGGCCTCCTGTGTGAGGTTTTTGCAAAAGTTTCTAGATGTTTTGTACGGAGAAAACCACAACTTCATAATTTGGGGCTTTGAGGCCTACGAAAAATGGTGAAAAAGTTCGACAAATATTTGATATTAGTTTTTTTCCTTTCGCAGTTCTTCTTTGTCTAAGTCCTTTTTATTTTTTGTGTAACTGGCTTGCTGCTACAAGATAGGCTACTTATCGTATGTAGTGACAAACATTGAAGGCAGTTATGATCTGTCAAAAATGATTACAGAAAAACATGTTTTCATCCATCAAACCATAGTTTTTGTCCCTTTACGTTGTAAGTGAAGGTTGATGTGCGCTGTATTGCGAAAAGTTAGCTGCTTCTAATGTTCTCATTGAAAAACATAGATTTTCTATTATAGCACGCAGAATTGAGAACTCACAAAACGCTCATTATTTTTACACCATCCTAATACAAAGATAACAGGATGGGAATGTACGTGAGGTGGAATTCCCAAACACAATCTCACATGGCTTTTTATGAACTGTACTGAACTTCAACCTAGTCGAATCAAATTTCAAATTCCGAAACTTGGTGAGGCATATTTTCTCTGACACGATGACCTTTGTGAAATCCGGATACATGTGGGGCTAGCCGTTGAAGGTTGGGATCGAAATTGGGCCTGAGCATAAGTTTGAAATATGCATAGCAGTTTATACGAGCCTTGAATAAGCAGCAAAGAACTGCGAAAAAGAATTACTAGAAATCTCACAGGTTGGCTACCGAATTTTTTTTCAGGTATCTTCCATATTTGAATTTCTCGTACCACTGTCGTTGATGTTATCACACCCAGCCTATCGGCGGCATTCATTATTGTTATATGAACGTCAACCATTGCGGATTATGTATCAACATCAATCCGTTGTCAAAGACAAAACACTGCCAAAGGTTTGCAGTTTAATCTAAAAATGCTGTATTTAATTTATCATTTTTAGGTTGTCAATGTCCTCGGAATTGAGATTGCCAATGCTGGAGAGCAGGCGTATTTCGAGAATCTGTCACGGGTTTGGAATCATCGGTTATAGTATATCATAGTAATTAATTCAATAAATTTTGTCAAGCTTTTTTTCTCTGAGCATATGACAAGCATCCTTGTATGGATATCTCGACTAAGATCGGGTTATATCCGACTGCTTTCAAACCAAACATAAGTTCGTAGCCGTGCAATGTTGCGGTCAACTTCAAGAAACAATTAGTTCGATAAAGCTCTCTTATGCCTTGGCTAGACTTCAAAGCGGCTCCTCGAAGATTTTGCGTGCATGGTGTGCATAAGCTTGTGAGTTGCGGAACGACTCAAATTCTGTGTGCAGTGCGATTACGATGAGCTACAAACATTCGGAGCATAGCCAAATCGCGTAGCGACTGAATTCGCGTAAGGTATGGCCGGAACCGTAAGCCGATTATAGTCGCTGCGCGACTTTACTGCTGGACGCGTGTTCCAATTCGGCTCGCGGCACGCTTCACTGTGTGGCTACAGAATACTCAAGGAATCAGCACTTGTAAGTGCTCGTAGCTTCTCCCAAGTGGTCTCTTAGCAGATAACAAAAATATATTAGGCTGTCCGGAAAATAATGTGATCGTGTTTTCTCATGCAATATCGCAGCAGGGTGAGCAGCAAAGTAAGTGAATGGGGTACCAACCGATAGATTAAAGCAAGCACTACAAAATTAAGCTCAAACCTTCGTGCCAGGTTTGATTTGCGTGAAGTTTGAAGCCAAATTTAAGACACCAAAGATCTAAAAAAACGAAAAAAATCGTATCTCCGTTCAGAAAAGTCCTGGGAACCCCTAACTTACTCACGTATGGATTATTGGATTATTTTATACCAGACACTCGTATTTACATTTCCGTGGTTTTTCCATGGCTGATTGAGAAAACGAAATCCGGCATGTTTTTCTTGAAGCAATTCTAAGCTTTTCCACACAAGTGATTCTGTAGTACCAACATTTGGAAGTCTAACCGTGAATTCAGCATTAGACAAGCTCCGGTTTTTCAGAAAAACCAAATTGTTTGCAAAAAACCCGAAAAACGCGACACACTCGCACTTTTGACCTGATTTTGTTTGTCGCACTGTAGCCATGGAAAAATAACACAAACTGTACAGGTGAATGTCTAATGTGAAGAGTACATGCCTGTGAAGATTGGAGTCCCTAAGACGTCTACGGACGGAGATACGATTTTTCGGGTGCCTTCAGGTAGAGCAAGATTGCATCATCAGCAAGCATCATTGGCGTTCCATGCCCTTCAAGTTGTTATGCATCTTATCCCAAATGACCATTTCGACCAATGATTCTTTCCTTGTAAATAATACATATGAATCAAATCGAGAGAGGCAAGAAAACGGAAAAATCACTGAAAATAAACAGGTTTTAATCCTATAGGCGTCAGCTGATGCGCATAATGTGCAATATGCATATCATGGAGATGATTCGATCATACAGAAACGGCTCATCATGTCGCATTGAGCAATATGCGATATTGAGAGCAAAGCTACTTGAGGTTAAGTATCGACTCCCAGGAGCAAGATGGGGAGAGCATTCGCAGTCCATTTGACGTCGATAAACGTGTTGAAACTTATTTCTGAATCATTGTTTTCGTAGCAGCTGCTGAAAACTGTTAAGCGCATACATACCCTCGATACATAGAGCCACGTACTCTGGTAACTTCACTTTGAGGGCTATGTGGGGACACAACCTTCACCTGGGAAAAAAACAGAAGTCATCCGGGGTAAAGCCCCGGATGTTATTATCCTGATTATATCGGAACGAATGTTAATGAAACAAATATAGGGAATAATATCTTCAGCTTATCTCAGCGAAACCGAGAACTTAGTTTTCATACCTTTTTTTAGTTAAAAGAGGTTTCTGCAGAAATCTCGCCAGGATCTGGGACAAAGTTTCTCACTTGACCTCTCATTTGACCAAAACCTAGTTTCAGAAGTTTAAGAAAACTTGAAAATATGTTAGTATTGCTTTGCCAGCACGAGGTTTGGGTGAAGCTTTATTAACATCAGTGGCCTAACGTTTCGACTACTCGTCGTCTTCAGAGGCCTAAAGCGGTGCGGGATTAGTGATCTTATGTCTGTCCCACCAAGCGCTTTATCAACTCTCGGCTAGCTTCTCGATCCCCTCTAGAGTTCAACAAGCAAAAATCGTAGGATGAAAAAGAAGAACACACCTTTGCTTCACCGCCGGTGCACTTGGTGTTATGGTGCGACCGTATCCTTGATGACAGTAGTGCCAATAAGTCACATTTAGTGGCTTATTGTAGATGAAATTATCACCAAACCTATTACCCAAACCTCGTGCTGGCAAAGCAATACTAACATATTTTCAAGTATGCCGAGGTTTAAACAAGAGAGGACAAAAGACTTTAAGAAAACTGTTGGAGTTGAATAAAAACGGGAAATGCGCTTGAATCTTGAACGAGATAGACCAGCGTTTTTTGCGCAGAGAGTCGCGCAAGAAAATGCTGGTCTATCTCGTTATAAGGATGTTTTCAAAGCTTGGGTTGTTGCCAGTGCTCCTCGTCGTGTCATGGCGATCAGAATGATGTATAATGTTGCAGGGTTTCGTTGAGACCCCGCGGAGATCTACGACCAGAGCCAGACGCCCCGCCGGCTCTGGTCTGTCTCCGCTGCTCGTCTGCGTCTCCGCGCGCTGCGCGCTACCTCGCTACCCCAAATGCGGGGCGCGGGACATTTGGCTCTGGTACCCTTTTTTTCGCTGTTTTGAACTAAATTATAGCAAGCTATATATCATCTTGAAGCTCTTGATCTCTATTTTCACGATGACAACGTCCCAGAATCACATTTTTTTGATTTGACCGAGAAATCCGGCAAAAACCTTGTTTCCGAAAATCTCTTGTTTTTTTTCGTAGTTTAACTCTTTTCACGCAGTTTTTTCGTGCGTTCTATAGATCTTGCTTCTAATAATAATGCAGACAACCACCCCGCCCTTATCTCTTCGGTTTCGGTGGAATTTTTTGCGAAAAATCGTCAAAAGTGCGTTTTTCTTTACCTTGTTCTGTTTCAGTGCTTTCGCATCGATTTTTTTCCAGCTTGGGCGATTGTTGCGCAGAATTATAAGCGCAACAATCCTGACAACGTTCCAGAAGACAGAAACGTCAAGCGGGGGTAAAAATTCAAAGGACGCATCAAAATTCAATACCCCGTATTGCGAACTGCAGGTCCTGAGCGAAAAATTGCACTTGGAAAAGCCGCCAAATAAAAGATTTCAAGCCTCATTGCAGCGTTTTTATCCGGTTTTCAGCTATTTCTTTTGCTTTTTATATCTGTTTTACGTCATTTCCTCTTCTCTGATTTCTTTAAACAACTTTCACTATTAATGACGTCAGATGTTCAAACAACCTTCACTTTTGGCGCCCTGTCTCTAGACTATCGAAGGTATGAGCGCATATATATGTTATCGAACGTCTACAATGCCCGCCGGCTATATTATTAGGTTGGAAACTATATTTTGCAACTTCCTTCATAACTATATTTCTGGATATTACGCACTCAAACGTTGGCACTATGTAGAGCTGAATGCGCTCTATAAAAGCGCAAACTATGTGAATTTTAAAAAGCTAATTAGTAATCGATTTTTCGAAAAATGGTAAATTACGAGAATTTTTGGGGTTGTAATCCAAGACGAAGCCGTTGGACCTAGTCCACGCACAACGGTCCGAAATCGTTTTTGCATTATTGCTAAAGGTTGATTTATTTTGCTCAATGAAAAAGAGAAGAAATATGTCGATAACTCGACCCCACAGAGTTGAACGACCGCTGTGCGCATCGGGACAACCGTCAGTGACTGAGGAATCGGAACCTCAAAATTTGCCGAGAGTCTGCATATTTGGGTCATTTGACCTAACAAACACGAATATCGCAATTATTTGTTGAGTCAAAGCCTTTTTCCATGATTACGGTGAGTCCTTAAACAGTGAACTTACTTTAATCCTACAAAAAAGTCCTTACCATGCAATTTAGGCATCGTTATCATGGTCAGCATGTTCAATAATCCCTTTGTGCAAGTTTCAGCCAAATTTGTAATGATCTGTAATTTTTCCCTTCACACCATATACTACCGTAACCCACACGTGGCGTCAGATTTTGGCAGGAGAGAAGCTGCGTTTGTAGCTTACATGATATTCTACGTGATGACAAAATTTGATTGTGCCATGTTGAAATAGAAATAAGTTATCGAGATAGTCGCAAAAACTTTTCCCCTAATACTAGGAATCGAAGATATTGGCTACGCGGCGTAGGTACCACACACGAAGTAAGGCCCACCATGGGGAGGACTAGGTAGATGGAGAGGGAGAGATAGAAAGAGGAGGTTCATCATGAGGACGACAAAATTCCGTTTCTACCCGGTCTCGGACCGCAGCCCATCCAAACTTCTAGTGCATTCGTGATTCTAACGCTCGAAAAGTTGCTTGGAACTGATTGTCTAGGTGAGCTCTGAGTTTTCGAATGTTCCGTATGATTCAAAAGTGCAACAAATCTTCGTTGACAGCTGTCTAAAGGTGCTACTACTTATTTTTGCCTCTTTGTCTGGGCATAAGTGTAAATGAGTCAGTGAATGTTATACTCTACACTCGTTTTTACATTCCCAAAACCTCATGCAAGTCATTGGTAGAAGCTAAAACTTCTGCTAATCAATTTTGTAAAACTCGGAATAGGGGCCTGCATGATCGCGGGAGTCGGACATGTGTACGGCCATTGCGCCGAGCACGTCCGATGTCCTTCCCAAGGCTCAGGTAGGCGCCAGACGTACCCTGTTCAGCGTCCGTTCACCCCTCTGCTATTGATCAGTGCACCGATTTGACCAATAGCAATGAGTTAACTGGACGAACCGGTTAAACAGGATAAGTGTGGCATCTGCCTCAGTGACATCGGACGGTCGTGGCGCAATCACCGTACGCACATCCGACTCTGGCGATCATGCAGGCCCCTATAGTTCAACTTTCCAGTTTTTTTTTTCAGAATTTTCGTGTTTTCTGTATTGCATTTCGGCTTGTTTATTTGAATTGCAGCCATATGTCCGAGAACTATCTA